GTATAAATAATAATCTGGATTTATGTTTGGATTCAATCTAAATCGCTTTAAATACTTTATTACATGTTTACTGAGAACCATGATGACATAATGAAACATTGACATTCAAAAGATAAATGGCTGATAATAGAGTATGGGCAGATATGTGAGGGATTGATATCTGATGTGAGTGATCATTGCAACGTCTTGGGCAGCAGGTAGCCTAGCGTTGGGCCAGTAACCAAAAGGTCGCTGGTTCAAATACCGGAGCAGAAAAATTAAAAAATGTGTTGTGTCCTTGAGCAAGGCAGTTAACCCTAATTTGCTCCAGGTCCACCGTACTACTATGGCTGACCCAATAAAACAGTGTATTTCACTGCACCTATCTGGTGTATGTGACAATAAAACATACTTTTTTTTTTTTATCAACTCATTACAGTGACTGGCAGGTGGGTTCTCCAGTCTGCTCATTAGATAAAGCTCAGCCTGATTAAAACAGATCCAGATTGTGGCTCCTTATTGGGTTGTTCAGTATTGAACAGCAGGGAAATGAGATTCGACAATGTAAAGCTGTGCTGTGTGGTGGAACGTCAAGGGACCTCATTAGAACCTACAGTAAAACAGGAAACCACATAATGTGTTGCGACAGCATGTCATCATTGCCTATGTATGTTTAATGCACAGCGATAATCCAATAACTTGTGCACAATTACTTCATTCATGTTTTAAATCATGCATGACAATTATTTCTGTAGGGTGAATAGTAATAGGGAGAGAAGATGTGTTGGTGTGTCATGCTGGTCACCTTTTCCACATTTTGTTACAGCCTTATTCTAAAATGGATTCAAATGTTTTTTTTTCGTCATCAATCTACACACAATACCCCATAATGATTTTTTTGCAAATGTATAAAAAATAAATAACTGAAATATACATTTACATAAGTATTCAGACCCTTTACTCAGTACGTTGTTGAAGCAGCTTTGGTAGCAGCTTACAGCCTCGAGTCTTCTTGGGTATGACGCTACAAGCTTTGCACACCTGTATGTTGGGAGTTTCTCCCATTCTTCTCTGCAGATCCTAAGAAGCTCTGTCAGGTTGGATGGGGAGCATCGCTGCACAGCTATTTTCAGGTCTCTCCAGAGATGTTCGATCGGGTTCAAGTCCGGGCTCAGGCTGGGCCACTCAAGGACATTGAGACTTGTCCCGAATGCAAATAGTCCAGGTAGCCATGATTAGCTGTTCATGAGTCTTATGGCTTGGGTGTAGAAGCTGTTTAGAAGCCTTTTGGACCTAGACTTGGCGCTCCGGTACCGCTTGCCGTGCGGTAGCAGAGAGAACAGTCTATGACTTGGGTGACTGGAGTCTTTGACAATTTGTTTGGCCTTCCTCTGACACCGCCTGGTATAGAGGTCCTGGATGGCAGGAAGCTTGGCCCCAGTGATGTACTGGGCCGTACGCACTACCCTCTGTAGTGCCTTGCGGTCGGAGGCCGAGCAGTTGCCATACCAGGCGGTGATGCAACCAGTCAGGATGCTCTCGATGGTGCAGCTGTATAACTTTTTGAGGATCTGAGGACCCATGCCAAATGTTTTCAGTCTCCTGAGGGGGAATAGGCTTTGTCGTGCCCTCTTCACGACTTTCTTGGTGTGTTTGGACCTTGATAGTTTGTTGGTGATGTGGACACCAAGGAACTTGAAGCTCTCAACCTGTCCCACTACAGCCCCGTCGATGAGAATGGGGGTGTGCTCAGTCCTCTTTTTTACCCCAGTAGTCCACAATCATCTCCTTTGTTTTGATCACGTTGAGGGAGAGGTTGTTATCCTGGCACCACATGGTCAGGTCTCTGACCTCCTCCCTATAGGCTGTCTCATCGTTGTCGGTGATCAGGCCTACCACTGTTGTGTCGTCGGAAAACTTAATGATGGTGTTGGAGTCGTGCCTGGCCATGCAGTCATGGGTGAACAGGGAGTACAGGAGTGGACTGAGCACACACCCCTGAGGGGCCCCAGTGTTGAGGATCAGCGTGGCGGATGTGTTGTTACCTACCCTTACCACCTGGGGGCGGCCCGTCAGGAAGTCCAGGATTCAGTTGCAGAGGGAGGTGTTTTGACCCAGGGTCCTTAGCTTAGTGATGAGCTTTGAGGGCACTATGGTGTTGAATGCTGAGCTGTAGTCAATGAATAGCATTCTCACGTAGGTGTTCCTCTTGTCCAGGTGGGAAAGGGCAGTGTGGAGTGCAATGGAGATTGCATCATCTGTGGATCTGTTGGGGCGGTATGCAAATTGGAGTGGGTCTAGGGTTTCTTGGATAATGGTGTTGATGTGAGCCATGACCAGCCTTTCAAAGCACTTCATGGCTACAGACGTGTGCTACGGGTCGGTAGTCATTTAGGCAAGTTATCTTAGTGTTTTTGGGCACAGGGACTACGGTGGTCTGCTTGAAACCTGTTGGTATTACAGACTCAGTCAGTGACAGGTTGAAAATGTCAGTGAAGACACTTGCCAGTTGGTCAGCGCATGCTTGGAGTACACGTCCTGGTAATCCGTCTGGCCCTGCGGCCTTGTGAATGTTGACCTGCTTAAAAGTCTTACTCACATCGGCTACGGAGAGCGTGATCACATAGTCATCCGGAACAGCTGATGCTCTAATGCATGCTTCAGTGTTGCTTGCCTCGAAGCGAGCATATAAGTGATTTAGCTGGGCAGCTCGTGGCTGTGCTTCCCTTTGTAGTCTGTAATAGTTTGCAAGCCCTGCCACATCCGACGATCGTTGGAGCCGGTGTAATACGATTCAATCTTAGTCCTGTATTGACTCTTTGCCTGTTTGATGGTTCGTCGGAGGGCATAGCGGGATTTCTTATAAGCGTCCGGGTTAGAGTCCCGCTCCTTGAAAGCGGCAGCTTTAGTTTTTGCTTATAAGCAGGAATCAGGAGGATAGAATTATGGTCAGATTTGCCAAATGGAGGGCGAGGTGGAACTTTGTATGCTTTCTCTGTGTGTGGAGTAAAGGTGGCCTAGAGTTTTCTTTCCTCTGGTTGCACATTTAACATGCTGGTAGAAATGTGATGATATCCAATCAATTGAATTTACCACAGGTGGACTCCAATCAAGTTGTAGAAACATCTCAAGGATGATCAATGGAAACAGGATGCACCGGAGCTAAATTTCGAGTCTCATAGCAAAGGGTCTGAATACTTATGTAAATTAGGTATTTCTGTTTTTTATTTAATACATTTGCAAAAATTTCTATAAACCTGTTTTTGTTTGTAATTATAGGGTATTGTGTGTAGATTGATGAGGATTGTATTTTATTTAATCAATTTTAGAATAAGGCTGTTACGTTTCAAAATGTGGAAAAAGTCAAGGGGTCTGAATACTCTCCGAATGCATTATATTTGACTGCTTCACTGAACTTATACTCTGGCATTAATTGAAGCTTGTTCTGTTTCTGTTTAATGATAACATATTAGGAGTCTATAGATCTATAACATCAGTCTGATCTCTATCATAAATCATGGCCTGGTTCTTCATCTTCAGTATGTCTGGACTGACATGTGAGAGACTGAGTGCCTCAGTCCTACATTCCTCTTGAGTTTCAGCTTGTATATGGGGCTAGATTGGTAATTGTCCCCTGCATCCCCTGTGTTCTCAGATTTGTGTATGTATTTTTTCTGTTTTATTGTCACATACACCAGATAGGTGCAGGGAAATGTGTTTTACAGGGTCAGCCATAGTAGTACGGCGCCCCTAGGTTTACGTGCCTTGCTCAAGGGCACATCAACAGATTTTTTACCTTGTCGGCTTGGGTATTTGAACCAGCAGTAGAGGTGCGTGGGTAAAATCACTGGGGAAGCCATGCCAGAAGAAAATGCCATATTACAACCTATGTGTTGTGATAATTGCATTGTTTGTTCTATAACCTTTTAGTTCATATGCCTTGCGACCGTGATATTAAAAAATATATATTATTATTATTTTATTTTTCATTTAGCAGACACTCTTATCCAGAGCGACTTTCAGTTAGTGAGTGCATACATTTTCATACAGGGCCTAAGGCCGAGACAATAAGAACATTAGCCTTCTACATCTAGCTACATGTTGAAGGGCACAATGTATACATTTATGGTTGGATCAGAATCACCATTATAGTCATTGGCCAGTACGGAGAATTAAGTAAAACCACAAGTCCAAATCCCTATCTCTATCCATGGCTAATTTAGGAAAGGGACAGTTTTAGCTAGCTAGCTAGCCACCGAAGATAACACAACGAGATGCAACAATTAAAGTTATTTATGTCAATGACGTATGCTCTCAATATGATAGGAGTGAAGCCAAATCCAAACTGGCTTCCCTTGACACTTTTTTTTTTTTTTGTGTGCCAGGACCATTCACAGACAGTTGAGCTCACTCAGTTTAGCTCAACGCTGATTGGCTATTATTTTACACTTTTTTTAATCAAGGGAGGTGAAGTGCTCGCTGGCTTCCCTTGCATTCGATTCTACGGGCGGCAACAATGTCATACTCCTTTTGACCAGACAGCATCGGATAGATGGCCTACACATACAGAGACATGAATACACGCCACTGTGAGCCAGCAACCTTTTGGTTACTGGCCCAAAGCTCAGTCAGCACCATGCAGACAGTGCCAAGACTGGTGTGTGTTCATCAATGCCCAACACTCCGCTCCCTCTGTTTACACCTCTCTGTTGTTGATAACAACACACTAGTCTGGGGAGTTTTACTGTTGTTCAGGATTAATCAAAATATGAGGGGATATATATGGGATATTTTGTTGATGGCTCCAGAATCAGAAAGGACGCAGCTTCAGTGTAACTTTCGCTCCTCTCTCAGCTGTTGCAGTGACTAAACATCAACACAGGAGGGCACTGTGGCTTTATCTGTAAACTCAACCAGCTGGTCTGATCAGGGATAGAAACTTTGATGAAGTGTCTCATTCCCCCAAAGGAAACCAGTAAGCGATATAGAGAGAAAATCACAGAAGTGGAGGTTGAGGCGATTTAAAACAGCATAGAGATGTGATCTTTCTTTCCTGTGATCCATATGTATTGAGCCAGGGGGAGGGAGGTAGTAGGGGTGGGGGAGGACTCGCCAAGTGACAGGCAGCTGATGGCTGAGCAGGGGGATTGGGCCAGTGGGTGCTGCATCACCTCATTGGCCCGCGGATGACTGGAGATGCAAATGAAGGGAGAGGAAGATAAAGCTTTTAATGACACTAAGCACACCCCAGAGGCCTAGCTACACCCGGCGCTCTCCACACTCAGCATATCAAGGGCACCCCAGCCTCCTCTGTCTGAGCCCCAGCCTGAGCATCCTCTCGCATGCCACACATCCCGTCGAGCTTTAGTTTTATTCCAGACAAGCACTTCTGACTCCTTCTGCTGAGCAGAGCCGATGACAGAAGACAGATGTGCTCTCCTCAGAGAATAGAGGATTCTGTTTGATAAGCCCTCTGCTCTGCAGACTGTTAAATAACCACAAGAAACCATTGTTAAATACATTTGATCTACATAAGAATGGATGGATGTGCCTGAAAAGCGTTGTCTTGCTCATTTTGCTGTGCTTGAGCAGTAAATGTCAATTTGATGTCAGATTTTCCTTTCTTTTCAACTGTGACTTCTGTTATGGCTTCTTTGAATGAGAGAACTTAGAAATGTAGGTAAGGCCTACTTCATCATGGAACAAGGCCTGAACTTGGAGAGAGGGAATGCAGCCAAATGTCCAAATACCAATCTATACTGTACAATTGACCGAACTGCAATCGAAACATTTGAGCTTGCTGAAATGTCATGGTAAAATGCATTGAACAATCTTCAAATCTCCATCTCTCAGGCCATTTGGCATGTGTCAGCGGGCCCAGCCATGGTTTTCATATCACACAGCTCCGCCACCACCTGAGAGCTATTGTACCCTGGTGTGACAACAACACACTGTCTGTACTGTCTGGGTGTCTTTTACTGTGAGAGACAGGCCCCAGGTGGGATGTTGTCTTTTATGTGTGGGTCACTCAGGCATAGAGAACACCAGCTCTCCTCTCCCATGGTTACTGCAACACAGGTGAGCCCACAGCGGGCACTGAGCCTGTCATAGTCAACAGTACCAGGGTCTAACCATTCTTCAGGGGAATAGAGAGAAGAAGAAGTGTAGCCTACTTTTGTCAGGAATTTTGCCTCCTAGGGGTCTAGTGTTCCATCTTTTTGTTTGAAAGTAAAGTTAGTGTACAAATGTTTGGAAATATGTGGAAAATGCAATTCCTTTTTAGTTAATCAAAAGAACTTGATTATTATTTCGATTCCCAAAATACGAAAACGTGTTTAAAATGGAGTCTCCTCACGTACAGTTAAACTACTTGTGATAACTGTTGTCAGACTTCAACGTTCTCCCTTTGACTTCTGCAATATGTTCAACTTTCATACCCTCTTGGCCTCTCTCTGCACACACACGCAACTCCCACTGTAGCTTGGTCTATAATTTGTTTAGATGTTGATTTATAATCTAATTGACTCTAATTGCTGCTTAGCAGCAGTATTAATCTGAGCTGCGTGCTTCCTGAAGCACATTAGGACACATTTGTATATTGAAGTAATTAGCTAAATTATAGAAGAACTAGAAAGTAGGGATAAGAGGGAAAGGAGAGTAAAGAAAGATGGAGAGCACTAAAGTACTTCAGTGCTGCGAGGGTCCTGCTGGGCTATTTGATAGTGTTTGTCTCATCAATGTTCTGTATGTGAAAGGTGCAAGCATGTTACATTGCATGTAATGAATTAGAATTGTTGCTTCAAGATAATAGCATACTGCCATGGAGTATGAGTTTATGTCATCACTACTTTACGAGACATTTCTATGAAATAGTCCATGTCATGCTCAGCTTTGCAACATCTAGGTCCCAGCTACTGTACAGTTTAGACACCTACACATACAATTGTTCTTTCTGTTGGCCTAGTGGCTAGTTTCTTATTTTCCATTTGGACTCTGTCTCTCTGTCTGAGGATGACATGCCGTTGTCACTGCCAAGCCTGTGTCTCATTGTCTACTAGCAGCATTGTTATTAGTGTGGGATGGGACTGCCTGTGGAGGTATGGGCATGCAGACAGGCTCCAGGCTCCAGGGAGCAGGCGGCAGGCTGGGTAATTAGTTGCTCCTCATCGCCAGACGGGCACACCGCCGTCACCACCACCGGGAGGTAGAGACGGGCACAGTGCAGTCATCGGGAGGGAGATGGGAAGTGGCGTGTCTGTCATAGGAACACTGGAACAACCTTTGGTGTGAGGGCTGGGTTCCAACGGTTCCAACGCATCTGTCACAGTCACACCACTCATCTCATCTAGCCACTGGCAAAATGGTAATGCTTATTACCCCACCAAACACAGCATGGATTATTATTAGTTTATCAGAAAGGGTATTATTACTATCGTCTTGTATCATAATTAGGAGTGGTCTATTACAAAGCCCATTGTCCAGCTGCATTGGGAAGGTTGGAGGGCGAGGGGCTGGCTGGATACAGGGGATAGCAGTGCTTGGATTACATTACTTATTGTCAATGGCGTAATGAAATAATGAAATGTCATTGCTGTTGAGTCAGAGTTGCTTTAATAAACACTGTGGCCCTACAGCATTAACCTGAACATTGAGCCTGTTAATTGAATATGCAGCATAGTGTATAGATGAGAAATGAAGCCATCAGAGCACAGAGGGGACAAAATGTTGTAGACTATCTTTAGGAATCTAGTGTGAGTATTTTTCACATATTCTCATTTGTTCTTTATGTGTACCCCCAGTGGATCACTGTCTTGACTTGGAGAGAGGGAATACAGCCCCAGGCTTGAATCCCTTGACCTTTCCATGTGACGTAATGGGTTTTGAGGAGCCATTTCTGCTGATGCCACATCTCCAGCCCCAGCAATGGGTTTCTGTCTGGAGCGACGGTAGCGACCATGTGATGATGATGACGGACCCCTGGTTTTGTAGGAGCGGCGGAGTAGCTTCTTCTGGTCGCCCCGGGAGATGTACAGGAGGAAGAGGAGGATGGGCACCCCCATGAGGAAGGTCCCGGCAAAGCCTAGCATGACTCCGTAGACCAGGGGCCACGCCCCGTCCAGTAGGCGTCGTTGGTACGGCTGGACAGGATCTCTCTCCACCACAAGCTCCAGGTCACTCCATATCAGCTCCTTCACTGGTATATTCCTTACTGTCAACCAATTAACAACAGCACAACAGCAGATCTCTTACTGCCAACATTCAACAAAAGCACAACAACAGATTCCTTTACTGACAGAGACAAACAACCACTCAACAAAAGGACAGAAGGAGAGTCCAGCCAAATCAGAGGAGAATCAGACACCTGTTTTCTTTTTTTTTTTACTTGGTCTCCGTGCCCATGAGAAAACGTGGCTTTTTGACAGGTGATAATTGCATCTTTGAATTTTCAGTTGTCCTGGGAAAAATAGTTCCTCAAAGTGACGAGTTGATGCTGATGGTTAGTAATACATTCGATGGCTCACTGCCCAGCTAGTGCAACCAAATCTTTATTTCAATGGCTTTCCTTCACAGTACAGTGTAGAGATTACGTGCACCATCACATTATCTTTATAATACATTATAAACTGGGTGGTTCGAGCACTGAATTCTGATTGGCTGACAGCCGTGGTATATATGTTTTATCATAACACGGGTATGATAAAACATTTATTTTTACTGCTCTAATTACGTTGGTAACCAGTTTCTAATAGCAATAAGGCACCTTGTAGGTTTGTGGTATATGGCCAATATACCACGGCTTAGGGCTGTATCCAGGCACTCCGCATTGCGGAGAACAGCCCTTAGCTGTGATATATTGGCCATACACCACAAACCCACGAGGTGCCTTACTGCTATTAGAAACTGGTTACCAATGTAATTGGTATATTGGCCATATACCACACCCCCTCAGGCCTTATTGCTTAATTATGTGTCCATTATCTAGCCTGGGGCTCTATACTTTACCATGTCTTGCTTGGGGCTTTCTATCTACATGATGTTCCTCTGTCTCTGACTGGACCAGTGGAGACTCTATGGAGCTGACTCTCTGGTGGTACTCCTCCACATACTTCTTCATACTCAGGGTTTTGTCCTGGTTGATATTTTTCCCCACCTCTGGAAGAACATCAGAACATTGGTACTGTGAATGGCTACTCAAAATGGTCTATACCTATAGGACTATCTGGGTCGTTCCACCACTTCCTTTTCAGAAGTGTAACTTGGTCAAAAAAAGCTTTTGATTTCACCTAACTTGAACATTCTGTCATAAAGAGTTGAACTTCATAAAAACACGTTTTTCCATCTCAAGAGGTTAAATAAAAAAATTACTAAGTGCCAGTGTTGACCTCAACATGGTTGAAGATTTCATCTTAAATCAGCCATAAATCCCCTTGTGACAGGGGGAATGGAAGCTTGTTGTGTGCAACAGGGAGGGACAATTGAATGCAAGCTTCACAACATTTATTTTAACTATTGTTAAAACATTTCTAGCCTGTCTATCTTTGGGTAACATGGTTGACGTGTTATGCTTGACCCTCTCAGTTTTCCACCACAAAACACCAGAAAATGAAAACTTGGAGACATTTTGGGGTTAAGTGGGTTAAATTCTTCCTATAAGACGGAGGGTGCACAAAGGGACATGTCATGCGGAATTTTGGCACAGGCTTTTAACATTTAATATTGGTACCCACTTTCTACTTAAAATATCAAAGGGATGCAAAATACACTCTTTTCGTGGAGCGACCCATCTACAGTTTATGCATTGGGAAAGAGAGACCGAGAGACACTGGATAACGTGTTGGGTACCCTCCATAAGTTAATGGACTTGAACTAAGCAGTACAGCAACTGCTCTCACTTTTACTTACAAAAATAAAGTAAACAGACTAAGTTGTTGTGTAAAAGTGGATTTATTCCTAATTGCAATCAGGTCCTGAATAATTGGTGTTTTGTATCCACATATTCCACACATTCATTCTGATCGAAAAATAAATAGCTTTCATACACAGTATTGACTGAAGGGATGTTCTTGTGTTGTCACTCTTTTGTCATTTCTCTCTGTCTGTCTCTTCCTGCCCCCCTCTCTCACTCTTTCTCTCTCTACCCCCCCTCTCTATCTCTGTCTCTCTACCCATATCTCTCTCTCTCTCTCTACCCCCACTCTCTCTACCCCCCCCCCCCTTTTCTCCATCTCTGATGATGAAAGGACCAGATGGTTTGTAGTGAATGTGGTGTGAGCTCCACTGAGTCCTCTGTCAGATCATTTACACCTCAGATCCATCGCCACTCAACTGTGGAGTCTCTTCTACACTAGACCCCACCACATGCCAGAGACAGGCATTGCGCAAAATATGCCATTTTTGAAATTCCAATTAAAATGGATCTTGTTGTAATGAGGTAATTATGTAGACAATGCTATTGAAGCCTTGTGTAGTAGCCTTGTGCACTGAAATAATGTCAAAATAAAATGTGTTCAAGTTAACTTATCGTGTTGTTCCCTGGCAGCTGAATCCCATATTTTTGATGACTACGTTCAATGAGACGTCACCAGTGCTGTGTGTGTGCGAGCGTGCGTGTTTGCGGGAGTATGTGTGTGTGTGAGTGTGTGTGTATGTATGCACTGTATCTCTCTGTCTGACCTATGGCAATGTCTGTCCTTCCGATGTGTTGCAGGGCGCGAGACAGCCTGTCGTAGTATGTCTGTTCTCCATGCTTCAGCAGCCAGTCTGTCAGAGCTGTCCGGCACTGAGCCTCGCTGTTCCTGTCTGATAAACATACAGCATATGGCCCTCAGACAGCAGGCCCAGCCACGCTGCTGCAGCTAACTAGGGAGAGGCAAACAGAACATGACATGTGGGAACAGACCGCTCACTCTCCTCTGAGTCCTCACAGACTGGGATAATAAACAATCACATTGAATGCCTCACTATAATATATCCATTATATAGTGTTTAGTTAAAGCAGAGCATTTTGTATATTCAGATAGCTAGGACAGCTAGCTAGGCCCTTTTGATTGATTGTTGCATTGCTCTCTATACATCAACATATGTGTAGAAGTACAGTAAATGTATGGTGCAGACCCAGCTGAGTTTGCACAGTGTAATGAATGAGCTATTGGTCGTGATGTACTGTCAGCGTTGCAGTACCAGTGTCTCTCTTGACTCTCTTCTGGAGGTCCAGTTGGTTGTTCTCCAGTGAGAGATGGTCCAGCTGCTGGAAGATGTTCTCCTCTGGGTGGGACAGGGCAGAGAGGAGGTCCTCACACTCCCTGGAGGTCAGCAGCTCCACCAGACGACCTAGCTGGTGAACACCCATGTCCTCCGCCACTGTGGAGGTGCATAGGAGTGGATAGGAGGGCACAGTGTTAGCATTAATACGCTATGCTATGATTGTAATCACTGTGGCAAAGCTTATGGCTGTCATTACAGGAAGAGGTATGAGTAAGGTGACTAGTGCTAAAGCATCCCAGGAAGGGGTATCACATGATCTAGTTATTAGTAAGTACTGTATGTGTGATGAGAACCATTTTCCTTTCTTTGACAATAAACTCAAATAACTCATTTCACACAACAGGTGGAGAAACCTGCAAACCCCAGATTCATTATACGTGAAGATGAGTTTTCCAACAGATTAGCACGGTATCAGCTGTGTGGAACATTTAGGTTCTCACCTGTGTCTTCCCCCAGGCTCGGGCTCAGGAGGAGCAGAAACAGAAGTGAGGGAGCTCCCATGACTGGCATGACTACTGTAGCAGTACCAGTGTCCAGTCCACTCTGCAGGAGGTGCTCCCTGGCTACAGTGGAAGTAATTTTTCAAAACACTGCAGTGCTCCGGAACAAATAGAGTCATAAGACAACGGAACAGTGAGTAACATTCTCTGTTCTATGTTGGAACTGTTCAACACTGTATGAGAGAAAGATGTCTTTAAGTATGTCAGTGGTTATTGGCATTTGGTTTACAACACTGACAATTAGGCTATTCATGTTTTGTTGTGGTTTGGTGTCCACCTCCGCGTTAGACAGGAAGACAGGCAGTAGATTACTTTACCAATCATATCCCTCCCTGCTTCAGCAATGCCAGGACTCTCCTCCTCTTCTGTGGGTTTTTGTGTGTTTTTGACAGCCTAGCGTTGCTATCTCTGTGTACAATAACATTGTACATGAAAACCTGTCGTCGTTTTGTTGCTTAAACACTGTTTGAGGCCTGCAGAAAATGCTTCCATGCTAATGGAAGCAGGAGGGTGCATTTATGGTTGTACAGTGCATTCAGAAAGAATTCCGACCCCTTGACTTTTTCCACACTTTCTTACGTTACAGCCTTATTCAAAAATGGAAGATTTTATTTTTTCCCTCATCAATCTACACAGGTATTTATAAATTTTTGCGAATGTATTACAAATAAAGAACAGAAATACCTTATTTACATAAGAATTCAGACCCTTTGTAATGAGACTCGAAATTGAGCTCAGGTGCATCCTGTTTCCATGGATCATCCTTGAGATGTTTCTACAACTTGATTGGAGTCCACCTGTGGTAAATTCAATTGATTGGACATGATTCGGAAAGGCACACACCTGTCTATTTAAGTTCCCACAGTTGACAGTGCATGTTAGAGCAAAAACCAAGCCATGAGGTCGAAGGAATTGTCCGTAGAGCTCCGAGACAGGATTGTGTCGCATCACAGATCTGGGGAAGGGTACCAAAAAATGTCTGCAGCATTGAAGGTCCCCAAGAACACAGTGGAACCACCAAGACTCTTCCTAGAGCTGGCCGCCCGATCAAACTGAACAATCGGGGGAGAAGGGCCTTGGTCAGGGAGGTGACCAAGAACCCGATGGTCACTCTGAAAGAGCTCCAGAGTTCCTCTGTGGAGATTGTAGAACCTTCCAGAAGGACAACCATCTCTGCAGCACTCTACCAATCAGGCCTTTATGGTAGTGGCCAGACGGAAGTCACTCCTCAGTAAAAGGCACCTAACAGCCTGCTTGGAGTTTGCCAAAAGGCACCTAAAGATTATCTGGTCTGATGAAACCAAGATTTAACTCTTTGGTCTGAATGCCAAGCGTCACGTCTGGAGGAAACCTGGCACCATCCCTACGGTGAAGCGTGGTGGTGGCAGCATCATGCTGTGGGGATGTATTTCAGCGGCAGGTACTGGGAGACTAGTCATGATCGAGGGAAAGATGAGTGGAGCAAAGTACACAGAGATCCTTGATGAAAACCTGCTCCAGAGCGCTCAGGACCTCTGACTGGGGCAAAGGTTCACCTTCCAACAGGATAATGACCCTAAGCACATAGCCAAGACAACGCAGAGTGGCTTTAGGAAAGGTCTCTGAATGTCCTTGAGTGGCCCAGCCTAGTGCCCGGACTTGAACCCGATCGAACATCTCTGGAGAGACCTGAAAATAGCTGTGCAGCGACGCTCCCCATCCAACCTGACAGAGCTTGAGAGGATCTGCAGAGAAGAATGGGAGAAACTCCCCAAATACAGGTGTGCCAAGCTTGTAGCGTAATACTTTAAGAAGACTCGAGGCTGTAATCGCTGCCAAAGGTGCTTCAACAACGTACTGAGTAAAGTGTCTGAATACTTATGTAAATGTGATACTTCCGATATTTTATATATTGTAAAAAATTTGCACACATTTCTAAATACCTGGTTTTGCTTTGTAATTATGGGGTATTGTGTGTAGATTGATGAGGAAAAAAACACAATTTAATCCATTTTTGAATAAGGCTGTAACGTAACAAAATGTGGAATAAGTCAAGGAGTTTCTGAATGCACTGTATATAAGAGGAGCCACAGGCATAACCCTTTGCTTTTTGGATTCGTTGTTTCGTTTTTTACTTTAAAGGCCCAGTGCAGTCAAAAATGTGATTTTCCTGTGTTTTATATATATTTCCACACTGAGGTTGAAAAATACTGTGAAATTGTGAAAATGATGATAATGCCCTTTTAGTGTAAGAGCTGTTTCAAAAGACCGCCTGAAGTTAAATGAATTAGTTAATAGACCAATAAGAAAGAGTTTCAAACCTCTCTGCCAATAACAGCTAGTTTTCAGTTCCCCCCTCCCCACTCAGACCACTCCCAGACAGTCCTAGCAAAATTATTGCATGAGAAATTGCTCTTTGCTAAGAAGCAATTTTGGTTTCTTTTTGACCATTTTAATTGAAAACAATCATAGTAAGGTATTTAATTGTGACCCAGAAATGACTTGATATTGAGATTTAAAAAAACGGCTGCATTGGACCTTTTAAAACCTCTGGTTGGTTAAAGGGCAACCAAAAGGGCAACCAAAACAAGCAAATGCCACTAGCAAAGTGCACAGGGTAAAAAAAAACAGATTGTAATGCTTTGCTTTGCTTCATCCAGAATACTATTGAACATAAAAGCTTTAACCTGACCAGGCCTGGTAAAACCTGCAGCAGTGACGTTGAGCTTCGATGTTAGAGAACACATTACTCTTTGAAAGACAAAAGGTGACATATTAAACTTGTTCCTCTCTAGTTCAGTATATAAAGACACATTTTGATTGGGTTTGAAATAGAATAATCAAAAGACAAACAGCAACAGGGAGAGATGCTGCTACCCACAATACACCAGGGGGTCATAGGACGTTAAACGGTTGTGTTCTACTTAAATTCTCTGGTTATGTCCCAAATGGCACCCTATCCCCTATATAGTGCACTATGTAAGGCATAGGGTGCCATTTGGGACACACAATCTATAATGTATTACTGGTAAGAGATGTGCCGCCCAGGCCAAGCATGCACCAGAGATGCACCTGACTCACAAGCATTTCGTTACACCCGCAATAACATTTGCTAAATATGTGTATGCGACCAATAAAATTTGATTTGATTTGAAGTAGCGCTACATTTGTAATCATTGTTTTACGGGGAGGTTAGTGTGGGGGCACATTCTGAATAGATAATAGAACTTGGAAGTTACTCTGAGGCCTCTCAGCTCAACTTCATTGTCTGAACTTTAGCATTGTGTGGTTGTGTGTGGGCTAGTCTTGGATGATCCATGTCAGCTAAGGAAAAAACATATTGTGGTGTTCTGGTGTGTTACACCTAGGGCTGTGACGGCCATGGCATTTTGGGTGGCAGTAATTGGCTAGCCAAATGATGACGGTCACCGTAATAAGCGTTCGAATAGCAAATGACGCACATTTTCTCCTCTCCTCTGCTCCTGACTGCATGTGCTGCCATAGAAATAGAATGAATAGAACGGAATGGGCGTCCCCATTCAAGTCAATGCAAAGCAGGAAGTAAAATATGTGCTGTGATTTGTTTATTAAACTCAACTGACATCACAAAAAATACATTCCATTGCATGAGCCACATAAGTTAACATCATTTGAATGAACATTCTACATTACCATGGAAAGTATTGCATCACAATACCAGGCAGCCATTGCGAGTGTACCAATGAGTTTACCAGTCAAATTGCCAGGGTTAGAGATTCCAAGCCTGTTCTATTCATTCTATTTCTATGTGTGTTGCTGTTGCATTGTGATCATTCCATCAGCTATTCGTTTGACCAAAGGAAAAAAATTAATATATATTTTTTAAACGGTTAAGGGGATTTTATTTTCATGACCGTCTTCATCCGTAACACGGTTATACGGTAATTGTGCCAGCCCGAGTTACACCAAAGGGTGTGGTTGCTGTAAATCGCTGAATGTAAATTTGTGGAAATGTTGTTTAGTTTTTGAACAGCTCTTGCACAAAAGATAGGACAAGGATAGCTCTTGCACAAAGGACAGGGTCAGAGACAGAATATACAGTAGAAATCGGAAGTTTACATACACCTTAGCCAAATCCATTTAAACTCAGTTTTTCACAATTCCTGACATTTAATCCAAGTAAAAATTCCCTGTCTTAGGTCCGTTAGGATCAGCACTTTATTTTAAGAATGTGAAATGTCAGAATAATAGTAGATAGAATGATTTATTTCAGCTTTTATTTCTTTCATCACATTCCCAGTGGGTCAGAAGTTTACATACACTCAATTAGTATTTGGTAGCATTGCCTTTAAATTGTTTAACTTGGGTCAAACGTTTCGGGTAGCCTTCCACAAGCTTCCCACAATAAGTTGGGTGAATTTTGGCCCATTCCTCCTGACAGAGCTGGTGTAACTGAGTCAGGTTTGTAGGCCTCCTTGCTCGCACACGCTTTTTCAGTTCTGCCCACAAATGTTCTATTGGATTGAGGTCAGGGCTTTGTGATGGCCAATCCAATACCTTGACTTTGTTGTCCTTAAGCCATTTTGCCACAACTTTGGAAGTATGCTTGGGGTCATTGTCCATTTGGAAGACCCATTTGCTACCAAACTTTAACTTCCTGACTGATGTCTTGAGATGTTACTTCAATATATCCACATAATTTTCCTTCCTCATAATGCCATCTATTTTGTGAAGTGCACCAGTCCCTCCTGCAGCAAAGCACCCCCACAGCATGATGCTGCCACCCCCGTGCTTCACGGTTGGGATGGGGTTCTTCGGCTTGCAAGTCCCCCTTTTTCCTCCAAACATAACGATAGTCATTATGGCCAAAGAGTTCTATTTTTGTTTCATCAGACCAGAAGACATTTCTCCAAAAAGTACGATCTTTGTCCCCATGTGCAGTTGCAAACCGTAGTCTGGCTTTAATTATGGCGGTTTTGGAGCAGTGGCTTCTTCCTTGCTGAGCGGCCTTTCAGGTTATGTCGATATAGTACTTGTTTTACTGTGGATATA